AATTTAAGAACAATGCTTTACTACATTTAAGGAATTAATTGTAAATGAGACAGTTTTGACTAAATTAGGTTTGCTTTTGTGCAAATCTTTATTTATATTTCAGTATTAGAGGTTCAATTAATTTAAGGTTATTTAGTGTAATGTTATATTAGGATCTTATGGTTTTGGATGATAATAACGGCTTATTAATTACAATCGGATAATAAGTTAACTTTAGAGTTGATTAGGGATGAAGAAAGTGATATTGAACAGGTAGTTCATGTATATTAATTCTTGATAAATTATTATAGTGAACAGATTCATCTATAATTAATTATACTAATATTAGTGAATGCAACCCTTAATTATTTAATTGTTATTCAATTTAAAACAAATTAGAATGTTTAAAATTGTTATTAGGATGATATATATGAAAAATTTTATGATTAATTTGATAATACTGATTGAATTTATGGAGATGAGTTTGTGTAACTCTATCATTAAATTTAAATTATTGATCAGTATAAAAATGTGTAATTCAGAAAATTTAATAACCTTGATAATGGGCACACAGAAATCAAATATGTAAATAATTCAATTAATGTCAGTTTAAGATTTAAATTAGTATACTCCTAATTAAACTATTATTTTTTATTCAAACTTTACTGTGTTTTAGAATGAAAGTAATTAATCAATTAATTTAATCAATAACACTATATTGCCTAATTCTAAAAATTTCTCATATCCAATGAATTTAATTCTTGATAGACAAGTGGGATATTGTGGATCTACAAATTAGAATTAAACCTATAATTTAAACAAACATTGCAGTTTAACTTAATTTTCTCATTTGTCTAAAAGCATTCCAAACACTCAGAATTACTCTTTAATCACTTCAATAAATAACGAATTTTTCGCTTTGCAGAATAACTTTTAAATTTAAGCTGTAAATAGTTAATTACAGAATTTATCTAATTTTTTTAGCTATTCAAATCTAAACTTGAGTGAATGTTTACAATCCACATCATGTAATTATACATTATATTCAATTTGTTAAAATGATAATGCATAGTATTTACTAAACTTTACATTTAACTTTCAAGGCATTATTGTAAATTCTAGTACTACATCACTTCCTTAAAACTTTTAAAATATTGCCAAAATAAATACTCTTCTATACTAAATTTTTATTTTAGGTTCCTAAGTAAATTATTAGTAATAATTGTATTGGTTTAACTAATCTGACAGCAGCTTAATTGAGATATCTGATCCAAATAGCGAATGTCAAGATTTCTCTATTGCATAAATAGCTACAACAATTAATGCTATTAATTTAGATCAAACAATTATTATATTTTATATTGAATAAGGCAATAAATTTTAATTAATCTTACTTAAATAAATGCTAGTTTAAAGTAACAGTATCACTTTAGAAAGTAGTTTTTTGGCCAAGAGTTATAATTGCGAAAATTAAAATTGTTCATTTCCTCCTTCACATGTTCAAATTTTATCAACTTTTTATAATCGAGCAATTATTATTTTGAGTGATTATAATAATAATCAAATGAGCCAAATAATTGATTTTAGAATTAAATAGAATTAATCTTTACTTATAAATACTATACCGTATTATGGCAATTTCAATAATACTGGTTATTCTTTTTATAAGAATGGGGTGTTAATGCAACAATTTTCATCTAATGAAATAAACATTGTTGGAGCTTATTATTTGAATGATAACCTATATGAAAACTTATTTGAACCCATTTTGATGTAAGGTTCATTCAATATTACAACAAATAATTATGCAATGATCGTAAATTAATAATATAAAAATGGATCATCTCTATACATTTATAATGATTTAATTTATAATTACTCAATAGGTACCTGGAATATAACATGTCTTTTTAATAGAAAAACATAAAAAAAAATTAATGTTTCAATATTTTGTAAAAATGAATTTTCAAATGGTACTTATAATATTTCATTCAACCCACCAATATTACAATAGTCAAGTAGAAGATGGATATATGCTTTAATTTCAATAATTGGTTTACTTCTTTTGTATTTTTACATTAAAGTGAAAAACAAGACAAGAAATTTAGAATATAATAAATATGAAATCGACTTATGATGTATTCAATAAAATTCAATATAAATAATTAAATAATCATCTAACTTCTTTTTAATAATAAATGCTAAATTGTATTATTTCTATAGTATTAAATGTTCTATGAACTTTTTAAATGACTATTATCAAATATTGATATTTTAAATTCAGAAATACTTAGCAAACGGGTTAACAAATTGGACAGCTAATGTTTAAGCGTTATTAAATTCAAAATTATTGATTGGAGGAGTGTATAAACAGAATGAATGTCAAATTGAAATTTAAGAACAATGCTTTACTACATTTAAGGAATTAATTGTAAATGAGACAGTTTTGACTTAATTAGGTTTGCTTTTGTGCAAATCTTTATTATATTTCAGTATTAGAGGTTCAATTAATTTAAGGTTATTTAGTGTAATGTTATATTAGGATCTTATGGTTTTGGATGATAATAACGGCTTATTAATTACAATCGATGGTAAGTTAACTTTAGAGTTGACTAGGGATGAAGAAAGTGATATTGAACAGGTAGTTCATGTATATTAATTCTTGATAAATTATTATAGTGAACAGATTCATCTATAATTAATTATACTAATATTAGTGAATGCAACCCTTAATTATTTAATTGTTATTCAATTTAAAACAAATTTGAATGTTTAAAATTGTTATTAGGATGATATATATGAAAAATTTTATGATTAATTTGATAATACTGATTGAATTTATGGAGATTTATCTATTGAAGATTGTAAAAACTATTTAAGTAACATTTAATTGAGTTTGTGTAAGTCTATCATTAAATTTAAATTATTTATCAGTATAAAAATGTGTAATTCAGAAAATTTAATAACCTTGATAATGGGCACACAGAAATCAAATATGTAAATAATTTAATTAATGTCAGTTTAAGAAGGTTTCTAAAATTTTACGTTTAGGGCTTTTAAACAATCTGCTCAAAAGATTTTAAACAATCCCCCAAGAAGCTTTTTCTTGTTTTAAAGCACCATTTTAAAATTTCATTTTTAGAAATACCTTTGTTATTACATTCGTTTTAAAGAATTTATGGTAAATGCTTTATCATACCATATAAGTGCTTGCTTAGATAAATAAAATATAATACTTGATGAACAACTAGAAGTCTCTGCCTTTAAATTAAATATAAAATTATAATCAAATCTTTTTAACTTAATTAATATATGAATCCATAATTACTAATCCTTTTGATTTTTATATAAATATTATAACTATGATTTTTTATTCCTTATTTATTCTACATCTGGCTATTTGACTGATTTTAGACAATTTTAAAGGAAAATTAATGAAATGCTACTCTAACATTTAACGATATAAATATAAAATTTGATTTAACAGATAATTCATTCAGAATAATGATGTTATCAATCTTTACTAATAAATATTGTCTAAAAGCTATTTATGAAATATAATACACCCATAGAAATATCTTTCTAATAAAACATTGAAGCCAGAAATAATAGATTCTTTGGCATTTCTAAGAATTTTTTATATTATTGAATAGAATAGAGATATAATTGTTTAATATTCGTAGAAGTAGAGATGAAACGCAAAAGAAATGAAAATAATTATAATTTTTAATGTTAAATGGAAATTATACATGTTCTTAAACAACTTGTATTAAAATACCATAAACTTAAATTAATGCTTTAGTATTTATATCAAGCTATTATA